GCAGGCAGGCAGGCAGGCAGGCAGGCAGGCAGGCAGGCAGGCAGGCAGGCAGGCAGGCAGGCAGGCAGGCAGGCAGGCAGGCAGGCAGGCAGGCATGGTAAAAGATGCATGCTATTTATATCAACTCACCTTCTATTCGGCATAGATTACACAATTCATCAAAAACCTAAAAGAAAAAATTACGGAGGCGTTACTTCTTTTTTTGATTTCTGTGTTCGCATCAACAAACTTTCTTTCACATTTTATTTCATTTCATTCCTTTTCACACTTTCCTTTTTATTCTCTTTTTTTCACTTGAAGAATTAAATGATTCTTGCGCGTCATTACTTACGTCACCAAACTTGGTCTCTTCGACTCCAGTCCTCTTGAATTCCGAAAGAACGGCTCTCATCACCAAACACTCATATGAAGATAAATTCCTAGAGGAAAATATACCACACACTCAATACTCGAATCCTATGTTCCTCAATCCTTAATTTTTACAACCCATGACCCAACTTTGTGACCCATTGATCATACGCTTGGAGCAGTAACGTGGAACTCTTGATACATGTATTTTGGGTAGCATGGGTGGCGTTCGCGGCTAACGCCTCAACTTCCACCGCTGTGAGTCCAACGGGTCGGGTCGCTGGTTCAAGCCCTGCGGTCGTCACATGTGAATTGAGTTTGATTGATGTGTTGTTCTCTCCTATGCTACGAGGGTTTTCTCCGGGTTCTCCGGTTTCCTCCCTCCGTAAAAATCAACATGTGAGTTGAGCGTTGTGTGCATAGAATATTGAATGTAGTGGTAGCGTGTGTGAGCGAAAAGTGTCCCCAATTAGTGCGAAAGCGCTACAACGACTAGGCACATCAAGATATTTATTTAATTTATTTTTTAACAAAACGCTTGGGGTAGGGGTAGGGGTAGGGGTGGGGTGGGTGACCTGGAATGTTCTAGAATCCCATTCTGACCCAGCGATACTTACATCATCAGTTTTATCTTTGGCGACGAAAACATGTCTTGTAACGCGGTGTTCACCTCCGTCATACCAACTAGTTTTCCTTTCTTGGACTTGGAAGATTTATTCTCAAGTTCTGCGATTTCTACCGCCCGACGACAGATGTCGAGACATCGACGCGCATCACCTGAAACAGCTGCTACCTAAAACACACATGATAATAATAAAACTGACAGAATCAGTTCAGTGGCTGATCCAGGAATTTAAAAGGGTGGGTTCTAAAATGTCCGCCACGTAGCACAAGCTGGTAAGATTGATTTCAAAAAAGGGGGGTTCCAAGTTCATTCTACTGAACGCAACGAACGCGATTGGCGCCACCGAACTTAGAAATCAAGGGGAAAATGGTCTTGAATTGAGAGACTTGAAACTTAACCTATCGTTATTACTGATATTAAACAATGGATACGACACGATACGACATTTGTAAACACAAAAAGATGAGACCGTCGTCTAGGGTCGAGAGATCCTTATCAGGGCGTTACTGAGATTTCTTTCGCTTCAGATATGATCTGGTGTGTGCGTACAAAGTCGAAGAGCACGATAATGGCATGTGAAAAAGAGTACTCGCGATGTAAGGACGTCAAAGAAGTTGACCGCAAAAAGCTTTTAAAACAACAGCGCGCGCATGAAAAGAAAGACGCGCCCGCATCTCGTGATCGCTTGGTCAATCCTTCGCGAGTAATGCTTACTACAGCGCTTCTCGATAGCACGTGCGGAATCTTCGTCGCTAAAACGTAGGTTTTGGTAGACGTCAATCAAAGCGTTTCCATGACATTTCATGGACACGTGTCCAAGAAAACTTGTGTTTTTAGTCAATATCATGGAAACGTCTTGACATCCACCAAAACCTACTTAATCGCGAGAGCAAATTGTACGAATTCCCACGTGTGCTATTGAGAATAGAGACCTTTAGCACGAAGTTCTTGCTAGGCAAACTTCAAACTGCAGTTCGACATAAGAGCCGCCATATTGAATTTCATTGATGCTGTGAGTGTTTCTTTGTATTTGCGCGCGTGTTTCTGGGCCTGATCCTTAGCGTAAACCTGATGCTAAAGGGTCTCTTATGACAGAAAATCAACTCCTGTAAAAAAATCATCTTCAGATAAGCCACGCAAATTAAAAATAAAATTTTAGAATGTTTAGGAAGACCTTTCGTGAGACAAGCTGCATGGCGTCAGGGTCGAACACATTCAGGTTTTGGATCCGTGATAAGACAATCTCCTGTAGTTGAGAATACGTGTAGGGCTGGAAGGTGATTCTTGTCAGACCCTGGAAAAAGATTTATTTAATCTTGAATAAGACGACTAATCTTGCGCAATAGACCCCTTGCATGTGACATCAGAGGAGCTCAATTTGGAGGACACTAACAAAAGAATTTCAATTTCCAGAGAATTGGAAACCTATCGTTTTGTGCTCCAAATTGAGCTGCATTTCGAAGTGCTGTAAGGGGTCTATTGTTATTAATCTTCAATAGCTTGTAAAGGGAATTTGCGCAACAGGTTTTGGGTATCAAGGGTGGTGTAGCTGTAATAACACCTCTCACCTCTGGGGTCTCCGATTCGATTTCTGGAATCAGCATCACATGTGAGTAGAGTCGGCTAAGCCCTGACTTAGATCAGCCCAGAGGTTGTTTCAGGGTTCGATCTGTGAGTTAGCCGTGCCCTGACTTTGATCAGCCCAGAGGTTGTTTCATGGTTCGATCTGTGAGTTATCCATGCCCTGACTTACATCAGCCCAGAGGTTGTTTCATGGTTCTATCTGTGAGTTATCCATGCCCTGACTTACATCAGCCCAGAGATAAATTTCAGAGTTTGATCAAATTGTTGTCCTATTTTGTTTCAGTCGCTTAAATTAAGACCTAGGTTACCCCCATGTATTAATAATCTATGAATACTGATTAATAATCTGAGCAGTTGATTCCCCTACCAGTCTACTCTGTACTCTGTTGATCATCATTCTCTCCGGCAGGTCCATAGTGTTGGCAATAGCCAGTACGACGAGTCTTGAATGCTGTCTTGACGGCCATTCAAAGAGGTTATACATCACTCCTTGCTTACGTGTCCACAGTAAGTCAAGCTACAAGAAAATACGAGCTGTTATAGTTAAAACCTGTATTAACCACCAATTCGATTTTTTTCCAGGTGGTCGTGAGTTTTGGAAACTGGAATGAGCGTCCTTAAGCGTTTTTTGAAGTAAGGGTGAAGGACTTTGACGCAAAAGTTCCTACTGAGTAGACTTTGTTTACTAGTGAGGCCTTTCTGACCTCGCTTCCATTCAATTGTCCCTAGTCCCAACCGCGTTTGGCGGCCATTTGTGAGAAAAGTGTATAAGGGCTATTTTCCTGGTTCTCTGGTTTTCCTCCTTCTGTGAGTTGAGTGTTATATGTTGTAAATATAGGATGTAGTGGTAGTCCATGTGGAAGGAACGTCACAGAAGAGCAACGTACAGGAAGTAATGGCTGTAAACTTTAAGGCAGTCGGCTTACAAATATTTAGGAATATTATTGTGATAAATACTATAAAGGTTTTGCACCATCAAGTGACGGCAGCCATGTTAGATGGCAGGAACAATACAATCGTTTTATATGAGAAAGAATTCAATCTCAGAAGCAAAAGTATTTTATTATTCTGCCATCTAACCACAGGAAGTCCAAGCAGTATTATGGGATGGGCACATGATGGTGCAAAACCTCTATTAGCAAGCAATTTCCTTACCTCATCAACCATCAACACCACACTTTCCTTCTTAGAATCCTGTTTGCTGAAGATCTTTTCTAGCAGATCTGAGGCATGGGTGGGCATGGCTTTTTGTCCTGTTAATTTCTGTCAAGAAAAAAAAAACGTCAATCAATTTTCTCAGTTTTTTATCAGTATTTKTTATCAGTTTTTTTCATCTATGGATCATTGGTTTGCGAGGTAGTTATAAGTGATTTCTGAGTTTGAAAATGTAGCGGTTACTAGTAAAACGTATTGAGGTTAAAACCATCTCTACCGACCTTTTCTGAGATAGTGAACATGGTGCATTGTGATCTAGCTTAAATATCTTTTTTTCATCATGCCTTATATGGTGTTGATTTCACCCAAGCTAGACCACAATGCATCATGTTTATTTAACTCAGAAAAGGCCAAGGAAAGACGTATGGTTGCCGAGGTGAGACAAGTGGTGCAATGGCGTACGCAGGTAAGGGCAGGCAAAACCAGTTTTCAAAACATTGGTAAGTTGCGCAAACTTATCAGGTGAGTACTTAGGTGTTTAGGATTCTACAGTGTGACAATGAAGGTGGCATACCTTGAGAATCGTGCTGTAGGTTTGGTTGGGTTCTGTTAGTTTCATTCCATTCACTTCAATAAACCTGAAGTTAGGAATGTGTTTGACTTTAGATTCTTGAAGAATGTGGATGACTTCATGGACAGTAGCTGTCTTTCCTGTTCCTGGTACACCAGATATATACATACACCTAGAAAAAATAGCCCCAACAATGAAGAAATAGAAAGCAAGTGCACATGCTGTGTGCAGTTATATAGCACTCGAAATCAATACGATGTACTTACCCTCCAGAGCCCTCAACCAGCTTGCCTTGTACAAAACTAAGGATATCTTCAAACTCATCATCACGGCACGGTAAAGAGCTAGGCACAGCTGACACATGGAGTCTATATGTCAAGTAACGATATTATTTGTGAGTGGGGTGTATAACATAAACGAGGGATTATCATTTTATTCCTATTCATTCTTCTAGCTATTTATCCATTTATCCATTAATGATAAAAAGGTAAATTATACACCGTGAAAAGATGAAAAAACTTACTGACATTTCGGACGCTAGTCCTTCGTCGGAGTAAAGGATGAAGGACTAGCGTCCGAAACATCAGTTTTTTTATCTTTTCACGGTGTATAATTTACCTTTTTATCATGACTGTTTCATTAGAAACACCAATGCAGCTCACACTAGTTTTGAGTTAGTTATCTCTCTTTTATCCATTACTTCAACTTTCCTTCCATTTTTTCACCATTCCATTTATCCTTCCATCTATTAATTTAAACTACCCATCATTTAATCCATTCATCCATCCATCCGTGCGTCCGTCCGTCCGTCATTCATCCGTCTGTCCGTCAATCCATCCATCCATCAATCTATTTATCCATCCATCCGTCCGTCCACCCATCCTTCCCATACCTTGTTCTTGCTTCCTGTAATGGTGTTCTAGGTGTCTTACATGGTTGTGATCTACTGGGTATACTTGGTGTCAACCCTTGAGCTACACTCTTTCTCCTATTCGGTTTGCCTGGGGTTTTCAAAGGTGTTTTACTGCCTGGGACCCCTGTGGTTGATTTAGACAGAGCTCTCCCACTAGGAGTCTGGGATGGAGTTTTTGAAGATCCTTTACCATGTGTCTGTCTCATATGATTTACACTTTCTGGTCGTCCTGTAGCTCTTGATCTGGCTGTACTTCTAGGGGTCTTGGATGGAGTTCTCCAATCATTATTACCAGCATGGGATGGGGTTCGGTATCTAAGCGATCTCCCAGAATGCACTGGGGTCTTCTCATTTTGATATTGTTTGTTTTTTCCTGAGGGAGTCTTCGCTGTAGATCTTGTTTTTGAAAATTTCTTTTCTGTTAAATCAAGCATTAGAGACATCAGGTTGAGATTACCTCCCATGGAGGGGGATTGGAATTTCCAAGGGGCGGAGAGGGTCTGAGGAGGGTATATTGTGTAGTTCCAGAAAATATAAATGGTACCTTCTACAAAGACGTCTTCATCCTCCTTCTCATCTTCTTCATCGCTGCTCACTTCTTCCTCTTCAAAATCCTCATCATCTTCATCAGTAGCATCTTCATCTTCATCATCCTCATCATGGTCATCAGACATCATAAGTTCAACTACTTCCTCAGTCACTGAAATGGATAAAAGTTAGTGATAAAGTAACCCTAAGCCTGAGACAATAGTTTCAGTAATTATTCTACATAAAGTGAATAGTTGAATGGTGAAACATTTTCATATGATTTAAGTGCATCTTGAAAATATCAAGGTTTATATTTTCTTCACAGTAAAATGTGTCGGATAAAAATTATCAATTTTATTCAGCATCTAAATTGTGAGTAAATGACGTCATTTACTCAACCCTATTGTTCTTTTCTCTTTTAACCCAAAATTTCTCAACTGCAAGTGGCTCCCAGGTGAAAATTTTCACTAATCTGGTTTACATAACCATGATTGAATCAAATTATCCACAAATACTTCAATTATTCGGACTTTGAAAAATTAGGGCGCTTTCATCCAAAATTTATCATAATCCTATAAAGGTTATAGGCACTTTAAAGATGCTACACTCAAATGCAGGAACATTTTACTATTTAACTATCCACTTCATGTAGAATCAATACTCAAAGTATTGTCTCTCTCAGGTAATAGGGGTACTTTAAGACTGCTTAGGAAGAGTTCACAATTTACACAGTGGGTAGGGGTAGGGGTGATTGGGATTTTACATTTTGGGGTATTTTCATTCATGCCCCAAATTACAGACTTTTAGTAGACACTATAATTATTTAATAAATATTCAAAAATAATTTCAATGTCACCCCCCTAAGTGTTATCTAAGAAAATGGATATCCCAATCCAAATCCCTATAGCCTCCCCCCTCCACATTAATTATTAACTCATACTCCTGATGCGGATCCAGGAATTTGTTCAGGGAGGGGTGCTGTGCACAAAGTTAACCCAGGGAGGGGTGCACCCCTTAAAGTCAAAGGGAAAAAACATTATTTTGTATTGGTTATCTTCAAAGTATAGGGGCACAAAGTCCAACCAGGGAGGGGCGTGCACCCCCTGCATCCCTCCCCTGAATCTGCCATTGTACTCTGCCCCCCTGCTCTGAACCCTTACTTACCAAAAGTTTGTTTGGGAGACTTTGTTGGTTTGACTGTCTTCTGTTTCTCTTGGCCTTTTTGTTTCACTTGTTTTTCTCTCTGTTTTGGCTTTATTTTAGATTTACTTTTTTTACTCTCGACTTCTCCTTCATCTGGAATGCTCTTACTAGCCTTTCTCTTCACTGGTGTGATATTTGGTTTCATTTTAACTAACTTGAGGACAAGACGCAGACCATTCAGAGCAGGGCTGTTCGTGGAGCTCCTGGTTTTCGGTGTCCCAATTCTCCATTGCTTTTCTGCTCCTAAAATATTGCATTACAAATTACCAATAAATAGCTTCATTGATTGTTTGTAATGATTTATGTAATACAGAAAACAGTAACTTAAAATGCATTTGACTAGTTATCCAATCAATAATAGCTTAATTAAAACTTCTTGTTCTAATTAAGGGGGGGTACTCCGCCAGAATTTGGGTAGGGGTGTTCTGCTGGGATTCTGAAAGGGGAACCCTGTTTATTACAAAAAAACTCAAAATTGTAGACCCTGTATAAGACAAAAGATATAATTAATTGCACTGAGTTCCTGTTTCAATTATCATGTCATCTCGCGTATCGTTTTTTTACGACCATAATAACCAGTTTCAGTCAATAATGAAGTAGAAACCCTGAATATGACAGGAACTCAGGAATAACTTGGAACTTGAGTGAAATTGCATACCCTGTTTATGACAAGAAGCTCGAAAAACCATACCCTCTTCAGCAGATCATCCCCGTATAGTCCATATATGGGAGTACCCCCCCAGGATTAAGGGAGGCTGGGTCATCTATATATAGTCAACTCAAAAAAACGATGTCGTTGACCAAATCAAGCCTATGCCACTGGACTGAAAATAAGTATGAGTAGAAATCATTGTAATCTAAAGCCATTCAATTACCATAACAATTCACCTTTTCGGCGCAAGCTTGGATTGTGTTACAGTCACCAAAAAGTTCAAACATTGTTCTTGGATTTCCATACAAAATCACTGACTTTGAAGAGAAAATTTAGGTAGATTTCTTTAGTTAGCTATCTTAGCAGCAGTAAGAAAAGCTTCAATCAAGCTAGAAAAATGATTATTTACTTGTATTTAGAGAACTAACTAAACATTAACCAAGTAAATAGTTCATTTAGAGTCAGTACATTTGTACAGAAATTCAAGAACAATGTCTGAATTTTTTGGTGACCAATTTATACCCCGTGACAGCTAGCGCTGAAAAGGTGAATTCCTTGGTACCACCAATTTATAAACGTGAAAGAAAAGCATCTTGCCCAAAGGACGCAACATGCAACTGCCTGGACCAGGAATTGAATCCAGGCCCATTGAACGAGAGTCCAACCCACAGACCACTCGGCCAACACATCTTCCACAAACTCAAATTTAAAGTGCCTATACAACCTAACTTGATTTTTTTTCAGTATTGATTCTACGTAAAGTGAATATTTGAATGGTAAAAGAATTTTGAATTCATATGATTCGAGTTATGCATCTTGGAGATATCGAGGTTTATATTTCCAATATGTTAATGAGTGTGATGATTAAAGATATAAAACTTTTCTGGGGCAGCAAAATATCCTGTACATATATCGTCTTACTCGGGTTTATAGAAAATTAATAGCAAATTTGTTTTCTCATAGTAATCAGTGTTGAAATTATTTATAAATGATGAGAAGCAAACTCAAATTCCTATAATGACATCACACTCATTAACATATTGGAAGGATAAACCTTGATATCTTCAAGATGCATCACTCGAATCATATGAATTCAAAATTCTTTTACCATTCAAATATTCACTTTACGTAGAATCAATACTGAAAATATTAAGTTAGGTTGTATAGACACTTTAAAGTCCCAGATAAAACCCTCTGAACGGTCACAAGTAGGACAAGCTCTCTTCATTCATCCAGCTAGCTACTTGCAACAACTTCATAAGATTAACGATTAATATAACATTCATTTTACCATAATTATTTTTCATTCTCGTGTTGGGTGTTGCTGAGCATGATGCTTTGGGCGTCCCACACTCGTTATTATTTAAATCATCAGCATAGCTCTTTAAAGCAGAGCTAAGTCTTGATAGATATTCTGTTGCATAGTAAATATTGTCTTGATCATCAAAAGCATATTTCATATAAAAAGGCCCATCATCTTTGCATTTATTCACCAGTGGAAAATCCTCTTTGGGACGAAGAAGAGTCACTTTGTTAACCTCACTTATTGTCTCTGCGTCAACAACTTCTATACTACCCCGAATCGGCCGTTTATCTGGAAATTTGACTGGTAAAAAGAGCTCGTTGCTTCGTTCTTCAAGCTGTTCACAGCACTTTTTGGTGAGGTCATTATATTTGTATAACCAGTGTATTTCAGCTCGGTATGGATCAGGATAATCACCAAGATCATGAAATTTAGCTACTTTGCCGACAGAGATCCCATTGGTTGTGTTGATTAGAACATAATCATCCACAGAGACGGCCATACTTCTTATTCTGCATTTTCTGTTCATTGAAAATAATATATTCAATATGTTACTAATAGCAACAATTAACACCCCCCCCCCCCTCTCTCCCCGACCAACCCCCTTTACGCACACAACAAACCGAAACAAAATGGCAGCCAAGATTTTACGATCTTAAGATATTAAATAAATCTCAGATTTTGACCAATTTGTTAAATAATGTCAACTGTTTGACAATATCTATTGCAATGTATAATAAGTATTTACCGTTATTGATAATTTAATAGCTTGATAATTGTTCTTGACTCACTTGTATTGCAATTTCCCGTCCTCAATGAATCCTTCCCCAATCCATTCAAAATTCTTCTTGCTCTTTGCGTTATCCTTCTTCCTAGCAGAGTGAATGGCCGTACTCATGTTATTTACTTAAAATGAATTAGATTTTACCAATAAATAATGATAATATTCGATAATATCTTTCACGTGTAGGAACTCTCTCGCTCTTTCGTTTATATAACCGCTGGCTTTCAAATCGTGGGCTCACCAAAAATTTCCCGCCAAAAACACAGGGATACCATCAGAAGACTTGTAAGCACATGAACCCCACTTGGAAAGTATACAAAAGGCATAAGCCGGGTAAATTCTTCCTTCCTTCCTTCCTTCCTTCCTTCCTTCCTTCCTTCCTTCCTTCCTTCCTTCAGAATGGGTGGCATGGGTGGCGTACTCTGCTAAGGCGTCGTTTTTCAGGTCGGGTCGCTGGTCCTGGCCCTGCGGTCGCGGTCACCACATGTGAATTGAGTTTGTTTGATGTGTTGTTTTCTCCTATGCTACGAGGGTTTTCTCCGGGTTCTCCGGTTTCCTCCCTCTGTAAAAATCAACATGTGAGTTGAGCGTTGTGTGCATAGAACATTGAATGTAGTGGTAGCGTGTGTGAGTGAAAAGTGTCCCCAATTAGTGCGAAAGCGCTACCCTGAGTAAATGAATCTGCAATCATGGAACTCAGCGGTAAGCAGGAACTCGAAGGGTCATCCGATAAAAGAACGCAAGGATTCTATTTAAAGTTCGTAATAATTAAAGGCTTTTGTTTTTATTATTAGTGGAGGGCTGTTTAATTTTCAATAAATCTGTAGCTTCATATTTAACTGATAAAAACGATAATCATGTTATAATATATGTTATAATATATGTTATAATAATATTACAGCGGCTGCATTTCAATCTATTCATATTCAAAAATATAAATTGACAACTGTAATAAATATCAAATAAATATTCCCTTTTTCCTGTGGAATTCATGGTCAGTTGGTTCTGTCTGCTTTGGGAGTTGAATGTATAGTATTTTCAAAAGTCTTGTGGTTGCACATCGTATATGTACAGTGATCATAGTTAATGCTTTGGCCAATTAAGCGGACTGTTCCTCTTTAGGTAGCCACATTTTGCACTCTTTCGAATCTGGACTTGTAGCAATAACAAATATCATTCTTTCTTTAAGAAATGCATGTTCTTACAGCTCTAGATAAGGCCGCCTTAGCAATTTTCTTGAGCAGCTTAAAAGTAAAAAGCAACCAGCGACAATAACAACGATGCTCAGTTCAAACAAAAACTCTTGGAGATTTAATAGTCTTTCTACGCGGTCATTCCTTGAGTAACGAGTCAACGTGGTGCTGGTAGTGCTTTGCTCTTTTTCACTCTTGTCGTTCTTGAGTTTTCCCATTGTAGCAGCTTCAAGGGTTTTCATCTGTGGTTTCATTGTTACTTCGTTTCTGTTTTTTGTATGAACTTACAGCAGCTTGAGTGTTGCTTTATATAGTCTCTTAAAAGGGTGACTGTGTCGTCATTAGCGACATACGATCCAGCCAATCACGAGGTCAACTTGCGTTAACAAGTATCGTACCAATCACGTCAGTTCAAGGTGACTTCGCAAGATTCTTTCCAGAACGTTCCTTAAGCGTAACGCCGTGTGAAGCATTTTCTAGAACATTCTTTACTCGTACAACCGTTGGCTTGAGAGGTCATCACAGTCATCAAATCGAACTGCCGCTTGACTCCAAAACTTGTGCAAATTTTGAGGAACTCTCGGTTCCATCTTGGGGTCTTTAAAGTAAGTGTCTGAATAAGCAGCACACTCAAAATCATTGTTGTAGGCTTTGCTCAAAGCCTCCATTTTGACTGAGAAATAGGAACTAAAGGTAGGAGACAGTTGTTGGGGTTCCTGTGTTGAATGTGAGCCCACGGCCAGGTAGTGGGTGTAAACCACATGGATGAAATTAACGAGACACGTGCTGACAGTAATGGCCTCAAAAATGAATCAAACTCCTGCATGGAATCGATTAGCTAACATCTTTGTGAGCAAGCTAGTGGGTTATAATTAGTGGTTGACATATTTGATTTGCATATTCAGGTCCTTTACAGTCACATAACCCATGTTTTTACATTAAAACTCATCGACTGATGAGGCAAACTAGTGCCATACACGCTTCGGCCGTAAATACGTTCATTTCACAATATAAGGTCGAAGTTAAAAGATAGTTTATTCTATTAGAGGCTGAACCGAGAAGCAAAAAGAGAAGACCTACAGAGAAGCTAGTGGCTCGTAAAGCGCATAAAGAAATGTGCAGTAAAGCAACATGGCATTGATGAATTGCAACATTTCCAAGAGATCGAACAGTGAAATGGAAATGAAGAATTTATGTTTCAATTGATCATTTTTCCAATATATATTCAAATGACAAAACATTGCAAAATGATAAGTTTTAAGTTAATTTCAATTTTCACTGTCCCTTCTTGATTTGGACCTCGACGATAGTCTGCGCGTGCCTGCGAATTCGCCTGCCGTCTGTCACAGGTTTTACCCAATTTCGATAACGAATGGAAGATGGCTAGGCAAAGCATGGGTAATTTGACTACCTTATAAATAGGGTTTCTTCGATCTTATTTTGCTTTGATTATTCTCATTCTTTTACATTTGCTGATGGCCGGCATACCATCAAAATCGATACTTGTGATTGGTGGTACTAACATCACGTGACGAGGGTCATATGCATCGAAGCAAGTAGTGACGAACGCAGAAAAGTCAAAGGCGTTTCGAAGCGGAAGACTTTGTAGTATACAGTCTAAGTGGACAGATCTCGAAGTCATGACTACCAAAGACTACGAAAGCTTTTTTGATCCTTACAATTATATGGATACTTATTTCAAAGATCCAATGAAAGAACCGTATTCGCTCCGACACCTCAAAAAGTTCTGGAGCAAAATAGGAGGAAGTAGTTTGAAGGTTCTAGAGTACGGTGGAGGGCCAACCATTTCGAGGCTAGTCTCAGCAACTCCACATGCGAGAGAAATAATTTTTGCCGAATATTTGAAGGCGAATCGTCAGGCCGTTCAGGCATGGATTGATAAGGATCCCATACCTTTCGATTGGAGGCCTGCTTTTGACTTTATCGTACGAGAGTTGGAAGGAAAAGGACCAGACGAGGTTGTGAAAAGGGAAGATGAGTTACGACAAAAGATACGAACCATTGTTCCATGTAATCTAAAAGCAGAAAATATCCTGGAGATTCCAGCCAGTCTTGGTGACAAGTACGGTCCACCTTATGACGTCGTTGCCACGAGTCTTTGCTTAGAAGCGGTGGTAGAAAGCGAGCAAGAATACAAGGATACCGTGACTAAATTAGCGAAGCTAGTCAAGCCTGGCGGATATCTAATGATGCATGGTGTTCTCGAGCAAACCTTTTATACAGTTTGCTCAAAGAAGTTCTACACTTTCTATCTGACGAAGGAAATGGTGGAAGAAAGTATGACGAATGCTGGAGTCAAAGACATAGAGATGGATTTGGCTTCGTCTGACTTGTCTGTGAATGCCAGTGATTTGGATGCTCTTCCTTTAGCAGATTTGAAAGATTTATTTTTCGTTTATGGTAAAATGTGAATGACCCTGGGAGTCAAGATCATCCGTATCACGCGTGATCTAATTATAAGATAGACATACAATATGTTGGCGTGACTGACCTGATTGCGTGATGCTGAGCTAAAAAAAAAAAGGTTATGAGACTAGTTACGAGTTCATAATTACCACTGTGTCCCTTGATTACCGACTCATTTACTCATAGTTAACCTCGTATCAGTGTCTAAATATTTACAAAAACCAATGGTAAAGAATGCACAATTCAACAACACAAACACTTTGAAATTCCACGGACCTTCAATGGAACACATGAATATTCTGCACAAACTCGAGGCTAACCCTTAGCAACAGAGAACTCGTAAACTAGAGTATAGATCATTATAATTCTATTTCGTCAAGCCTGTTTTACAAGAGGAAGGATTGATATAGCGAAGATACAAGGAATCAAGTTTTTAATATATAAATTGATGGTAAACAATTGCGTATAAAATGGTATCCAATCCAATAAAATGTTGTACTGATCAGTTGTAGAGGTCTTTTTCTGCCGTCCCTTCTCGCTTTTGATTGGTCCATTTTTTACAGTCAGTCTCTGATGGCTTCTTTTTAGTGATCTATAGCAGAAGGAATGACGGACCAGACTGGCTTTGTTAACCTTTCATCAAAATATAGATACTGGGCCCAGTTGTATGAAGCCTGGATAGCGCTATCCGACGGATAAATCTTATCCAGTGGATAAATTTATTGCATAACAGCATCGACTTATTCACTGGATAAAGATTTATCCGCCGAATAGCGCTATCCAGGCTTCGTGATTAGTGGCGAAATCATTAGGGTAAGGAGGAGGACTAGGACTAACGTCACGAGACTACGAGGGTCATTTGCAGCACATAATCGGATATGACTTTGAGTTGAAGTATAGTCATGACTACCAAAGACTATGAAAGATTTTTTGATCCTTACGATTATATGGATACTTATTATGATGATCCAAAGAAAGATAGGTTTTCTCTAGGACGAATAGAACAATTCTGGAGCAAAATAGGAGGATATAATTTGAAGGTTCTAGAGTACGGTGGAGGGCCAATCATTTCGAGGCTTGTCACGGCAGCTCCACATGCGAGAGAAATAATTTTTGCCGATTACTGCAAGGCGAATCGTCAAGCAGTTCAGGCATGGATCGATAAAGACTCAAAGGCATTCGATTGGAGGGATACTTTTGACTTTATCGTAGGAGAGTTGGAAGGAAAAGGAACAGACGAAGTTGCTAAAAGAGAAGATGAGTTACGACAAAAGATACGAGCCATCGTTCCATGTGATATCAAATCAGATAATATCCTGGAGATTCCAGCCAGTCTTGGTGACAAGTACGGTCCACCTTATGACGTTGTTGCCACGAGTCTTTGCTTAGAAGCGGTGGTAGAAAGCGAGCAAGAATACAAGGATACCGTGGCAAAATTAGCGAAGCTAGTCAAGCCTGGCGGATATCTAATGATGTATGCAGTTATCAGCCAAACCTTCTATATGGTCGGATCAAAAAAGTTCTCTAGTTTTTGTCTTACGAAGGAGATGGTGGAAGAAAGTATGAAGGATACTGGGGCGAAAATCATGCACATCGACATGGCAACCAGTTCTGGTATAAAACTCGATTACATGGCAGACACACAAGACGAGATGTTTATCTACGGACGCCTGTGATTTTTAAACCTTACACGTACTGGCAACAATAAATATTGTTGAAATCCCGGTGAAATCTAGGCCATAAAACTGCCTTTCAAATCGCTTTAAGAATATGCCATGCAAAATAGACTTCTTTAAATATGATCACTAGGTGATAAGGGACGGGAAGGGACGAGATCCTTGAGGGGAGGGAGGGGGGTTGGGCAATTTATTTTGTGCAGGAAGTTTTGTTTTACGCCTCGTGGCTGAGCAGGACTTTTTTTGGACATAATTTGGAATTTCTTTCTGGCGCTTTTCTTATGCACGATTTTTTTCACTCTTTGAAGCTGTGCTAAAAGTTATTTTTGTCAAAAATCTAATGGTCCACCCCTCATTGATAATTTAAAAAGAATACGACTACGTTCAAGGCCGGATCCAGGGGGGGGGGGGTAAAGGGAGGGCTGAAGCCCCCCCCCCCCCCCCAGCAGAAAAAAACTAAACAAAACAAAACTGAAGAATTAGATGCTTTTTTAAATAGTTTTCCGTTGTGTTGACGGAAGAAACTCAATTAGCCCCCACCCACTAAACTCAATTAGCCCCCCCTAAAATTTTGGCTGGATCCGCCCTTGACGTTACATATCAGGGCAATAAAGAGTTGTCTCTTCATTCATTGTTTTTTTCGGTCGGGCAAGGGATAGGTGGGTGGGGGGGGGGGGTTGCTGGGATTTTATGAATTGTGAGTAAAAAATGTATATATGCCCGATTCCTAACGTGATTTTTTTAAGTGTACCCCTATTAAACAGGATAAAATGTTAAAATATATTTTCTACTTACCTAATTATTTTTTGGGTGCTTCCCTTAATGCCCCCTCCCTCAATACCACCAACCATCTAATGCTCGCAACAAACGGTCCCGTAAGCCGTGGCAAGAGCTTTGATTGATTTTTCCTAATTTGCGTCAGAATGTAACAGCGTCTTTGGTAGTCATTGAATCGGGGATCAGGGAACCAGGACTGAATGGCAAAGCTTGCGATTTATTCATGTGATAGATACTGCACAAATTTTGAACCAGGATTGAATGTCAAAGCTGCCATTTATTAATGTAAATTTACGTACAATTTAATTATGCACCAATCAGCGGCTTCTCCGTGGGGTCGACCCCCAGGCTGACCATGGAGATTGTAAAAATTCATAAACAATGTTGATCATTTTTCCCAGGGGTAGGGAAGTTGTTCTTTTCAATGTCCCCTGGTCGAGGCATTCAAATCTACAATCTCCCTCATTTTGGTTGAAATTATTGTTATTGTATTTTGAAAACTGAACTCAACGCGTAACCCGTGCGGTTTGCTCGATATTTCAGGTAGTTTTTCATTGAAAAGATTGGAAAAATAACTCTCATGAAATGAAGAATTCACATTTAAAAGTAAAAAAAATCAAGTTGCCTTCGAATTCGTATCTATGTAGCCTGCGTCACATACGGTATTTACGAAGAAAATTCCGGATGTGACGCAGGCTAGTATCTATGAAACAATAAAGAATGTCAAAAAAACATACAGTGGAATTCTCTCACCTCGTCAGCCATCTTGACGAGCAGAGAGGCATCTGGGTATTGTCGAATAACACAGGTAACCCAGCCCGACCAAAAACGTCCGTGGTCTCAAACTGTTTAAAATCAGGAGCTACTTCTTTAACTAGAGAGGAAAACCAATCCCCCTGGTAACCTTTGCAATGAAAATACTTTCATTACAATCCCCCACCTCAGTTTTTAGTCACGAAACCAATGTCGCAAATTTTCCCAACCCCAGGGGGAATAACTGGATCCAATCCTTCTATATTCTCCCACCCATCTCCCTGGTCAGCCCGGGGGTCGACCCCACGGGGAAGCCGCTGATAGGTGCATTAGTACTTTATTAGGTTAGAGACTTAAATTGCTTGTCTTGTTACAATTATATAACGACAATCACAGAGACCAGCTTAGCTGTAATTGATGTAAGCATCGCTAACGATCAAATAGACAAACTCTTACATTATGTTACACCCTGATATGTAAAGTAGTTGTACTCTTTCTACAATATTATAGATTATCACCTAGTAATCATGTTTAAAGGAGTCTATTTTGCATGTGATTTCACCATGATTTCAAAAGATCTAAATTATATTCATAATTATTTCCTAAGGTTGAAATCACAGGCGTCCGTAGATAAACATCTCGTCCTGCGTGTCTGCCAAGGGATAGTAATCGACTTTTGTATCAGAACTTGCCATGTCGATGTGCATGATTATCGCCCCAGTATTCTTCATGCTTTCTTCCACCATCTCCTTCGTCAAATAAAAAGAGTAGAACTTTTTTGATCCGACCATATAGAAGGTTTGGCGGATTACTGCATGCATCATTAGATATCCGCCAGGCTTGACTAGCTTTGCCAATTTTGCCACGGTATCCTTGTATTCTTGCTCGCTTTCTACCACTGCTTCTAAGCAAAGACTCGTGGCAACAACGTCATAAGGTGGACCGTACTTGTCACCGAGACTGGCTGGAATCTCCAGGATATTATCTGATTTGATATCACATGGAACAATGACTCGTATCTTTTGTCGTAACTCATCTTCTCTTTTGACAACTTCGTCTGTTCCTTTACCTTCCAACTCTCCTACGATAAAGTCAAAAGTATCCCTCCAATCGAATGCCTTTGGGTCTTTATCGATCCATGCCTGAACAGCTTGACGAAGATGCTTCGCGTACTCAGAAAAGACGAAGTCTTTGACATAAGGACAAGCACTGATAAGTCGTGAGATATTAGGACCTCCGCCATATTCCAAGACCTTCAGATCACTCTTATTTACCTGACTCCAAAACTTGTGTAAATTTTGGAGAACTCTCGGTTCCATCTTGGGGTCTTTAAAGTAAGTGTTTAAATAAGCAGCACAGTCAAAATCATTGTTGTAGTCTTTGCAAAAAGTCTCCATTTTGACTGAGAAATAGGAACTATTAATTAAGGTAGAAAAGAGCTGTTGGGGTTCCTGTGTTGAATGTGAGCCCACGGTCAGGTGGTGGGTATAGACCGCATGGAAGCACGTGCTGACGGTAATTACCTCAGTCTAATAGAGTCGTGCTATATTCCGATTATAAGCATGGATCACCCAATGCACTCAAGAAGCGATACCATACTTCGCTCATTCATTGAATGTAGTCTGAAGATCATGAAAGGAGAAAGTTCCCTTGTAATTCATGAAGCCGGCGAATGTACAATCGATGTTCGCCAAGAACCTTCCTCCAAAAATTGTGATGTCCAAGTTCGATGTGGTAAGATATAAAACTACCTCTTTGCTACTACTAATATTTACACACTATTATTGATCGAATATTCATACTTTTCAAAAGCAAATATCCATCGTTTATTATCATTTTATCGTGTGATTTTGAGTGTTTATTCTTGATTCGTCGTTCCGCTTCACAGGAAGTGAGTTTTCACCTCATTTTCGGGTATGTGCTGATACGAATCATAGTCAAGTTGGTCGACTTAGGTATCTGATCGATCTACCAGAGCACTGTTGTAGTATTATTATCACTTTTTCACGAAATGAAGGTAGGTATTGAATCATTACTATGCATGTATTTAATGACTTACTTTGATACTAAATGTGATGATTTGATTAGAACATAAGCATTCATGAGTGACTTATCAACCTTAATTGTTATCTTATCTCGGAAGAAAGACGTTAAAGTAAATGATAGTTGATTCATTTGCTTTGAAAGCTTTTAAATGAGGAGGGATGGGCCTTAATTGTTATTTAATGATGTTGATGGTGGCCTTTCACAGTTCCCTGCGCCATCTTGAAAGGTAGCTGTGCCTTTGCATTGAAGCCAGACGAATGGTGAGCTTGCAGTGATAGAGACCTTTTTTCAACACCTTGCTCAATTATTCTCATGGCTCTATCATTGCAAGCTCACTGTTTGCCCCACTTCAATGCAAAGGCACGGCTACTTTTCAAGATTGGCTTCCCAATCACTTGTGTGAAATCGTACAATTTGTCATGGTGACAAAGATGGTTTTGGTGGACGTCAATCAAGTCATTTCCATGACATTCCATAGGCATTTGCCCTTGAAAACTTTGTGTTTTCTGATTGTAACACTTTGATTGATGTCTACCAAAACCAACTTTGTCCCAAGAGGGAGGGGGGTCATGATGTTTGGTTAGGTCAAACTTAAAACAGGTTGCAACTTTCAACTTTAACCCCCAACGATTCCATTCAAACTAAATTTGCTTATTTTTTCCATAACAGAGGTTAAAGAATTCAGAACACTTTTATCACAATCGAAGGCCAGATCTGAGTCAGAATCTACATTTAATGAAAGAACAGATGAAGCCTCTGCTATGCAATATTTCCAGGTAACAATCTCATCCAAAGTCTTATGAGACTTGGTAGTTCAGTGGTTAGAGCATGGCACCAGAATCGCCAGGGCACAGGTTCAAATCCCGTTCAAGACTCAGAATTTTTTCTATGTCTTTCAATTTGCAGCTGCATAAGTTGCTTCATATACTGCGAGGATCAGCTCAATTTGATACATTACAACCACAGTACAAATATGTATTCCCTATATACAATCAATTCAAAAAATGTTGTCCTCGACCAACTCAAGCCTGCGACTGGACCGAAAGGAACTCTGGGTAGTAATCATTGAAGCCGAGTTGACTACATATTTTTATCTGACTAGTAATGCCTGGTTTACAGCACAAACCTTCGTAGGCGAGCGGGAAGTGCTGAAGGAGACGTTTTTTTAATGCCTTCATATTTTCGGAATTGTGAACTGAATCATAACTACTTTATTTTTCTTTCCCTAAACCCAAAGACATGCATTTGATGGATTGTTTCTCGCTATTATTATCTTTACTACTAGTGGCAACAATTAATTCAGAACGAATATTTAACCGCTACAGTGATTTTTATCCATATTTCTTTTGGTCCAGTTGTGTAGGCTTGAGCCGGTCGACGACAACGTTTTTTGAATTGACTGTATTCTCATATACACACACATAATCTTATGCAAAGCAATGATAAATAGATAGATGGCTATTAATTCTTTGCCTTTGAGTCTGGACGGACAACACCATGCAAAAATCGTAGCCAACTTTCACATTGACTGCAACATTTTCTATCGCAAATAAAACAACCTAGGTTGTAATTGTATTATGTGTGGTCAATTCACCTTTTCGGTGCTAGCTATTACATTGTATAAATTGTGTTACGGTCACCAAAACGTTCGGACATTGTTCTCGGATTTCCGTATAAATGTACTGACTTTAAATGAACTATTTACTTGGTTTGTTTAGTTAGTTCTCTAAATACAAGTAAGATGTCATACTTCTAGCTTGATTGAAGCTTTTCTTACTGCTGTTAAGAGAGCTAACTAAAGAAATCTATCTAAATTTTCTCTTTAAACTCAGTGAATTTGTATGGGAATCCGAGAACGATGTCTGAACTTTTTGGTGACTGTAACACACGCAATTTATACCACATGACGGCTAGTGCTGAAAAGGTGAATTGACTATATATATTTAATTCTTTAATCACTTGCATTTCTTTCTTTTTTCTAGTTCTATGGATATCTGTCTCAACAGCAAAATATGATGCAGGTACATTTAATTATTGATACTTTTAAGACCCTGAGGTGTTGGTCTTGCGGAGGGTTGAACTTACTACCTCCTGCACAACAGACTGGTGCCCAAATTATTCATGACATTTACATGATAATGAGTGTACTTTATTTTAGTTAAATTTTCCAATTTTCTATCTTGATATTTTGATGCCTTAATGCAGAAATATGGTTACTAACATTATCTACTTGTTTATAAGGATTACACAAGGACTTCAACATACCAGAAAGCAATGCTACAGAATCATGTAGATTTTGAAGACAAGGTAGCCTAAAAGTTGTTTTCAAATGGTGTAGAAGTCAAGAGGAAGAGAGAAGAGAAGAGAGGTGGGGAGGGAAGTGAAGAGCGAAGGGGAATTAGGATTTTATCTGATTATAAGAATATTAAATTTTCTGTAAAATAGTACTGAAAATTCTTTATATTCTTATTTGTTTAGTATGACATTATTTCAATGTGTTTTACATTACATTTTGAAAGACCATACCATAACTTTGCTATATTAGTAATCATAATATTAATTTTGAAATATGTTTTCGATATCCTTGTTTTATAGGTGGTTATAGACGTAGGTGCTGGCTCAGGTAATGGACATGAATATTATGCACAACTTGATATTTACATTATTGCATATTTATAGTGAGGATAAGGAAGACACTTGAACCATGAACAATTCAAGTTTTGTCACTTTTTTAAAACATACAATTCACTCCTTGAGCCAATTGATTGGAAATAAGATTTATTGTGATAACATGAAGATATAGAAATATAGATAAGTTATAGTGCTTGGGAACGAGGTTAATTTCCGACCTCGCTGGGAATCGAAATTAATTTTTCCGAATTTAATTCCAAGGGTCTTTCGCCCGGAATAACCTTGTTCCCTAGCACTATAACTTATCTATATTTCTATATCTTCATGTATTTCATAAGTGCTACGCGGTCCACATATCCCCATTTATTGTGATAAGCGTATTTGAACTCAATGCTTTATCTGAGAGTATTATATCCATGAAACAGTCTTATGTAACTATTATAGCTCTATTATATATAACTATTATAGAAAACAGTGGACATTGAACTATTTCGTACTATTTAGTGCAAAATAATGATAATAATAATAATAATAATAATACTTTATTTCTCAAAACAATGCATTTAAAACTCTCAATGCTTTTTACAAATGGAAGAAAAAATATATATCTGATTGGGATTCCTAAGGTACTTAAAAGTCATTGTCAATATTGAACTATAAAAACGTGAAAAAGAAGGGGGGGAAATGTAACCGAAGAATTAAATATAAATGTCTTAAGTTTCTTCTTAAAAATGTCAACAGATTTTGATATCTTTATGTCTGGTGGCACTCTAGCCAGAGGGACATGAACAATTCATTTTTATAAATCTACAATYCCAGGGATACTTTCATTCTTTGCTGTGCAAGCTGGTGCCAGGAAAGTGTATGCTATTGAAGCAAGCTCCATGGCGATGCATGCAGAGGTATCTCCATGTAATATAACATCAATAGACTTTCTACGAATTTGTGTGAGTGTGACCATGAAAAAATAGCTTCAATTTATGGCCGAACTCTATTTTTGAGGCAATTTTTGTGTGGTCACTCTCTCAAGCAAATTCAGAAAAAATCTATCATATTGCATTGTTTTTACAGCTTGTTAAATCACTTATCAATCTGCTTTGCATGTGTAGGTCTTAATATAATGGATAAATTAAATATTGTAATATTTTCTTTCCTAGCTTCTAGTGAAGAAGAATAACCTTGAAGATAAGATTATTGTTGTTCCTGGAAAGGTGGAAGAGGTAAAAATAGGATTTTCCTCAATGAATAAAAAACTCATTTTGATTAGCTATCTCCTTGAGTATGTATATTCATGTCAGTTTTGACTTCTCTAATCGGTTAAGCTCCAGCTTTCAATGCTTTCAAGGTAACTCCATATAGTTCTATTACTCAAAAGCCTGAAACTATATGAAACAACCTTAAAACAGAGCAATAATGAATAGGTGGGTTAAGTGTGAACTGTCAGCTCCCTGGAAGACCAGCTACTAGCTGAAGGAACCTATGTTAAATCTATAAAATCTACAAAGCTTTTCGCTGTCATATCACAGCGTGGGACAATCACAACAGAGCTAGGCTCCAAACTAAGTGAAAGCCCAAAGATCGAATTAGAATTTAGAAGTTGATTTTTTTGGAGGGAGGAAAACTGAAGAACCCGGAGAAAAACCCTCGAAGCACAGGAGAGAACCAACAAACAACTCTACTCACATACGACATCGAGATCAGCAGGACTCGAACACAGGCCGCATTGGTGAGAGGCGGTGCATTAGCAGCTCACACCATCGGTGCTTCCCAAATTAGCCTACTCCATCGACATCTCTCTTATTTTCATTTCTTAGGCACTTGGGACCCCTGTGTGGTAAAGGAGGGAGGAGGATGACTCGAAGTAAAGATAGACACCTGCGAAGCATGCTAACATTAAATAAGGCATTTACCTTTTAAATATATATCTACTGGTAAACAAAGAGATAATACTCAGGGGAATAACACATGGTTTTTAAAGAAAAACAACAAATTAGCCTACTCTTTAATAGCATCCAGAGACACCAGTGAAGTGTTAAAAATATTCAGAGAAAATCTTTCTGTTTTCTTATCAGGTTCACATTCCAGAAAAAGTTGATGCTATAATTTCAGAGCCAATGGGTTACATGCTGTTCAATGAAAGAATGTTGGAAAGCTATTTACATGCAAAGAAATGGCTTAAACCTGGTGGTAAGTTGATGTTATATGCCAAGAGTCAAAAAGTCGACAAACAAAAAATAGAATGAATATGAAATTATGTGAATTTTTTTTTTTATTGTTCAGCCTCTAAAGTCAACATTGTATTGGGGGTTGGGCAGAAGAGAGCATGGGGGAGTTGGTTTGGGTGGTAGTGGGGTGCTGGATTGTAGTGGGAGGGGGTCGGATTGTAGTTGGAGGGGGTTGGATTGTAGTGGGAGGGGGTCGGATTGTAGTTGGAGGGGGTTGGATTGTAGTGGGAGGGGGTCAGATTGTAGTGGAAGGGGATAGGGTGATAGTGGGAGGGGTTGGTTGGTAGCGGGTAGGAGACAGTTTGGAAGTAAAGGAAGCTAGTGGACATTTTGTCAAAGATTGTAGATTGCACTGGAATAGTAATAAACTGATGTAAATTGACTTTTCAGGTAAAATGTTCCCCAGTGTAGGACAGCTTCATGTGGCTCCCTTTTCTGATGATGCACTTTATATTGAACATTTCTCAAAGGCTAATTTCTGGTAAATACTTGTGCAAGGTTAATAATACTATAAGTAGTGACAGAAGTGATGTTCTTAAAATGATTTGCTATTGTGGTGCTGCTGCTGATGTTAATGATGGTGATGGTGGTTGTAGTGGAGATAACGTAATGGCGATGACGACACAGCATATTGATGATGATTATGATTGCGATAATGATGATACTGCTGCTAATGATGATGATGATGGTGATGATGATGATGGTGATAATGATGATGCTGATAGCAATGTTAATGATGATGATGATGATGATCCTGATGATATGCTCATGGATGATGCTTATAATGTTAATGATGATGATGATGATCCTGATGATATGCTCGTGGATGATGCTTATAATGTTAATGATGATGATGATGATCCTGATGACATGCTCGTGGATGATGCTTATAATGGTAATGATGATGATGATGCCAATGCTTACTCTCTGCAAAATGTACATGTGATTTTAGATTTGTTTCATAAAATATTGAATTACACATGAATCATTAAAACTATTAAACTATAATGTTTGGGGGTTCCAAGTGTAAGTCGCTTATGTCCTGAATTGGATCATCCCAGATCAGGAGGATCACATTTATATTGGTGGTGATAACAATGATGTTGTTATTGATTAATGGTAATAGTGATGATAACGATGATGATTGATGATAATGATGAAGTAAAATCATAATAACTTATTTTTCAGGTACCAAAAGTCCTTCTATGGAGTTGATCTTTCAAGCTTAAGGGAAGCAGCACTAAAAGAATACTTCAAACAACCAGTTGTGGTAAGAATGGTATAAAATAATGCATACATGCAAGCCCCAAAATGTGTGATACAAGACAGAAGGTTTTTCCTTGGTATTTAACTTCAACTTTGAAATAGTTTAACCATAAAATTGGAAGAAATGCTTGGTAAGGTGCCAGGCCAAAGTATTTGTAATTTTTACTGTAAATACARTAGTACCTCGATAAAGCAGACACCTTCATGACCTTGCCTTGTGTCTTCTTAATAAAGGGTGTCTGCTGAATAAAGCTTTGTTTAACAGTGAATACAGTGGTATCTCTATTTTATCTTTATTAAGTGGACACCTTTGGAACCTTATCTGGTGTCTGCTTAATGAGTGTCTGCTGAATAGATGTTTGTTTTACAGTATGTGTTGATAATCTTTAATGAGGGAAACCTACTCACTAAGCGTGGTTTTCAGTAGTGCCCTAAATAAGAATATACAACGACTAATTTTACAATAATACAATTAAAGAAATATGAATAAACAAAAACATGGATAAAAAGATAAATTAAATAAGATAAGAAAAATGTAAAGTTATAAAATATAAAAGAGTGATCTAAAAAGTCTTATAATATATACAAAATATTAAAAAGCTAATAAATTTTTTTAAGAGATCTCTTGAAACTGTTGACTGTTATTTTCTTATAAATACGTAAATACGTACTTACCTGCATTAAGTGGACACCTTTGGAACCTTGCCTGGTGTGTGCTTAATAAAGGGTGTCCACTGAATAGAGGTTTTTTTTATAGTAAATATAGTGGTACCTGTATTAAGTGGACACCTTCAGTACCTTGCCTGGTGTCCACTTAATAAAGGGTGTTCACTGAATAGAGGTTTATTTTATAGTAAATATAGTGGTACCTGTATTAAGTGGACACCTTCGGNACTGAATAGAGGTTTATTTTATAGTAAATATAGTGGTACCTGTATTAAGTGGACACCTTCGGGTCCTTGCCTGGTGTCCACTTAATAAAGGGTGTTGACTGAATAGAGGTTTATTTTATAGTAAATATAGTGGTACCTGTATTAAGTGGACACCTTCGGNACTGAATAGAGGTTTATTTTATAGTAAATATAGTGGTACCTGTATTAAGTGGACACCTTCGGTATATTGCCTGGTGTCCACTTAATAAAGGGTGTCCACTGAATAGAGGTCTATTTTATAGTAAATATAGTGGTACCTGTATTAAGTGGACACCTTCGGTATATTGCCTGGTGTCCACTTAGTAAAGGGTGTTGACTGAATAGAGGTTTATTTTATAGTAAATATAGTGGTACCTGTATTAAGTGGACACCTTTGGTACCTTGCCTGGTGTCTGCTTAATAAAGGGTGTCCAATGAATAGACATTCAAGTTTCACAGTAACTATCATGAGAACATTTCTGAGGACCATGCTATATAAGCTGTCCATTTAATGAAGGTGTCTTCTTGATAAAGGGACTGCTTGACAGAGGTGTCATTTTGTTAAATGACTTGATCGTTTATTTCCAGGACACATTTGATGAACGCATTCTTATGGCCAAACCAGTAACATATTCTGTGGATTTTTTGACGTCAGAAGAAGATGACCTCCACAGGTTTGTTACTGATCAAACATGTATTCAGGGTTTGATAAACTGATGTGATAAAATGATAAGAAAAGTATTGTTGTTTTTCATATTGTTTAGGATTAATAGAAGAGTAATATTGTCATGTTTTTTTTACATCGTTTTACATAGTCATAGATTGTTCTACAATTGTAGCCTGCAACCCTACAATATTAGTTTCAGGGCTCGATCTAACTATTTAAGGGTATTGATAAATTTGAAAAGTGAAGATGACATGTTCTTGCAGGATGGAGATTCCCATAAAGTTTACACTCCTGAGCAGTGGGTCACTTCATGGATTAGCATTCTGGTTTGACGTTTGCTTCAAAGGAAGTCAGTAAGTATATTGCTTTTATGAAGATTTCTCCTCAAAAACTTATTTTTTTACAGGTCCCCCCTTAGTACTTAACTTAGATTTCAAAGGACCCCCCCCCCCCCCACAAATAACCCATGAAAATTTTCAAATTCAACTGAGAGCTCCCCTTCTATGCATTACAAATTTTAAAGCCACCCTTTCATTTCCGTGCCCCACCCCCACATATCTTCATCCCCCTTGGAATATGAAATAAACTTTCCCTTAGTAGCAATATTGATTATCGTGTGTGTCTTTTCTAGGGTACCTGTGTGGCTATCAACAGCCCCTCATGAACCTCTAACACATTGGTACCAGGTAATATGCCATACCACTGATGGTGTTTGTGATGGTGTATGAGGTGATGATTATGTTTGTGATTGTGATGATGGTGTTGATGGTTGTAGAGTATTACCAGAGCCTGGATTTAGGCTAGAGTGGATTCCAACTGCCGATATGAGTCAAAAACATTTTTATTGAAAAAAAAAAATTTAGAAAATTATTTTGCATTGATTATTTTCTAAATTAGGCGGTATGTATTTGTTATTTATGGGGGTTAATTATGGTTTAGGGGGATCAGATGAAACCATCCCCTAGACCTGCTTCTTGAGAGGGTAATTCTGATAATGGATGATGGTAGTGGTGGTTGAGATGATAGTGGTAATGTTGATGATGAGGATGGAGTCAATATAGATGATGATATCGATTGTTGACAATATTCAATGATGAAGATGATGGCCTTAATTAATTATATCTGAATTGAAAATATAGTGTAATATAGAAGCAACAGAGTATTTTATGAAGTAGCTTTAATGGTTTGAGCATCTCTGTTTGTACAGGTTCGCTGTTTACTGGAGACTCCAATCTTTGTTAAAGCTGGACAGTCTGTATCAGGAACTGTGTTATTAGTCTCTAATGCAAGGTGATGCAATCACTCATTCTACCATTTTCTATCCAGCTATCCATCTCATTCAGTTTGTCATCAGTCCATCCATATTATGCTATCGGTCCATCCGTCCCATTTATTTTATTATTCATGTATCAATCCCATCACTTCATCCCATTCATTTATTCATCCATCTCATCCACCCAATCAAGTGCTCCATGTTTCTCATATGCACTCTTTTCATTTATTTATTTATCCATCCTATCCATCTATCCATCCATTCATCCTTCCATCCCATCCATCTGTCACCCAATCTTTCAACACTATAGATTTCCTTGAACATGACATTATTTTAACATCATATCTAAAACAATGTTTTAACTTGTTATTTCATAATATCTTTATCTTMAGGCAAAGCTATGATGTAGACTTTGAAATACGTTTAGATGGGACAACCATCCGAACAAGAAACACAGTTGACTTAAAAAATCCCTACTTCAGATACACGGGTTCAACACCCCAGCCTCCAGCGGGTTACAACAATGAGTCACCTACTGAAGTATACTGGTCTCTAGCTAGCAACGGCGATAGTAGTCATACTGCTAACGCTGTGAATAGTAATGCAGTTGGTGGTGGTGGCGGTAGTGGGTGTAGCCCTAGTGTTATGATGGGAGAATCAATGACTAACACTACAGGAATGCATTCCAATTCTTTGTACAATAATACAGGTATGTTGACCAGTACCTTTGCTCATGATATTTATCCATTAATTTTCATGGAAATGGCTTATTCTGATAGCTGAAATACAATTGTACCTTATTATAAGCTCACTGATTACCAGAGCTGTTAAATTATTATTTTGTCTTTCAAAGTAGGTTTGCAACTGACTACCTACTTTTCAAATCTTTAGTTTTTTTCCATGGGTATTCAATCTTTTTAGGGAGAAAAATAAAGTCTAACATGTAAACCCATTTTGCCATTGACGTGGCAACGAAAGAATAATCTAGTGACAAGATATGCAAAGACTAACTCTTCCTATTGATCATACTATTTTTTGTACAGGTGGATACGTTGGTGGTCAGTACTGGGGAGGCAATGCATATGGTAATGTCACAAGCCTACAAGCAATGCAGAATTACTCTGGTTCCTTTGGTGCAATTAATAATGTGAATACCAGTTACATCGCCAGTAGTCAACCAGCCATGCTGTATAGTCAGACATCTGGTAGAAATGCAGTCATGACAGGACAAAATCAACGACATTAAAGCCTGGTTCTACACAAGTCCATTATTGCATGTTGATCAGTATGGTTACTATAATTAAAGCAAAAGCATTCAAATCAACTGACGCTGTGTGGTTGACAACAAAGTTATCATTTATTCTGTCGTGTTGAACTGGATGACACGTGCAACTTAGTTACAACTGTGTATAATAATGAACTGGATTCCCATAAAGTTAGTTCAGATTTTTTCCCTTCTGTCACAAGAAATAATAGGATTGTTTTTGATTTCTAGGTTCTTTACATTGCAATATGTTAACTTGTTTGTTAATGCATATCATTTATTATGACTTCAAAATGTGAATGTATTATCAACATCACTAAAATAGGTGCTTAGTAAACAACAGGGTGTGGCACATTTTAAAGCTAAGATTGAGACTCGTACCAAGTCACTTCTCTTACTCGTGCTGTTGTTGTGCTGTGGTTGATGGGAAGGATTTAGTGAGTTCCCAGTCAATCAACTGCTTTGCAAAAGCCTTTGCGTGCATTAATCGCCTTCCCATATTCCATTGCGAATAGAAAAAATACACCCAAGCGATGCCTGGGTAGGTGTCTGAGCTGGCTACCATTGATTTGTTCCACTTATTCCATCCCTGATAAGACATGTTTCTAGCATTTAAGAGGAATTTCAAGTCTGGTTTTTAGACTTCTTTGTGCGAATAAAATATTTATTAATTATAATAATACGTAATTATTCCCCCCTAAACAATTCATGGTTTTGTTTCCACCTAATAGAACTATCCTGAATTCGCTTGACTGACCACGAAACAATGGTTTGAAGTTGAGACTGGACTTGATTCTTTTATTCATCAAGTTCGACCTCGACTTGAAACCATTGTTTCATGACCAGTCAAGTGAATTCGGGATAGGTCTATTACTGTTGCTATGTCTCACAAGCTCATTAAATTGGGTAGAATTTTTCAGAATTGAGAACTCTGTGGAAGAATATAAATTGCTTCAATTGTTTACTGTCCAGTGAAAATAAAAGACAAATGCTTTCTTAATCCTTGTAGTACTCTTTGAAGCAGATAGTTGTAGTTGTGTGTGGGACAAAATTTGAATGCCGCTGAGAAAACTGCTGCAATGGTGGAATGTCTCGCTACTGTATGAGTCACAACCATCAATAGACTATTTACATCAGATGTCCTCGTCAAATTACTCACTTCCTTTCATAATAATAAAACACATATCACACATTACATCAACTGATAATATTTTTAATCATTAAACTAAATATGGGTTATTTACAAACCAATTACTTTTCCCTTTGCTAATAAATATTTACAACAACATTGGCATTACTTCATCAAGTCTATAATATTAGGTATAAGGACACAGCTGATCAGTATATCACTGAATATAATATAATATAGTTTAATCTAAACTAGGCCTTTAGATATCAATGAAAATGCTATCTGCTTATTTTAACATTGAGTTTGCTACAAAATAATATTTAGACTTCTAATTAATGTAGAGAGAGTTATAAGCTGATACTCAGCTGAACAACATTAATTTAGTATTCTTTTTTAACTCGTGAAAATGATAAAAGAAACAAATTACTAAATATTTATTTGGAAAAACAAAGAGAATCTACAAAACTAAGAAATACTCATTTCGAGTTTACTCATCAATAATGACGATAAAATCAATGTTTTTCTCAAAGTTTTCATGGAAATAATAATGAAAGAGTTATTAGGGTTATACTGTACTGTATGAGAGGGATAGAAGTGTAAAGAAGTGTTGAATGGTTGATATCTATTAACACCAAACAGAAACTCTTTTACCCCCAAATTCTAGCACAAACACTCGACCATCAGCTGTAACTACTACATCAGCAGGATACAGCATCTGACCAACACCTGAACCACGGCTACCAAATGACTTTATAAACTGACCTTCTTGTGTGAAAAGTTGAACACGGTGATTATAACGATCACAGACAAGAATCATGCTTGGACCATAAACAGCCAGTCCATGTACACTATTAAACTGACCGTCTCTTTCTCTCTTTTTTCCAAACTTGTACAAGAAAACTCCATTCACATCAAAAACAAGAACATAGTTTATGTCATAACCACAAGATACAAAGTATTTCCCGTTACCATAGGTGATGTACTGAGGCTGTTCATTATTATCAGGCATATTAAACTCATGAACTAAATGTCCTTGTTTACTGAACACCTTGATACTTGGTTTGATACCCAGTTCTTGTTTTCCCAAACAGCACACTGCGATGTTTTTATCATCGTTAACACACATTCCACGCGGTTCAAACCATTGGTCATGTCTGTAGATGGTTCTTACATAAGTACCCTTCAAGTCAAACTCTTGTATCCTGCCTTGACCATGTGGACCATCACTGACAATTATTCTGTCTTCATTAAACATCACTCCAAATGGATAATACAGTTGACCTTCTCCTGTTCCTTTCCTGCCAAACTCTCTTAAATAGTTTCCATCAAGACTGAATATTTGAATACGRTGATTAMMATAATCAGCAATGGCTATCTCTCCATTATCACTGACTGCTATCGACAGTGGATCATTCAACTGTCCTCTACCACTTCCCTCTTCTCCAAAGGTTTTCACAGGTTTGAACAACTCCCTCACATCGAGTATCTCTACATTCTGAGGCGAGTTCTTGATCCTTTCTCCTYCAATATTCACCTGAATTTCGTGCCGTCCATCTTTTTGTGGCTTAAAACTCACACGGTATTTTCCAGTTTGCTCTTCAGACACTTTGTTTTCCACCTCGTTGCCCTCCACATCTTTGATTCTAACATCAATAGACTTGATTCTTGTGGGACACACTTCTCCTTCTGTATTCCTGGTGATTATCTTGCACTCGTTTATAAAACCACGAGGAGTCTTCAATAATTCAATTGTGGATCGAGCAGGGTCCGTCACGTTCTTCACAATCCTGCCGATGTCTAGCAGTGATTGCATGACTTGCTCTGTCACGGAGTAACGTATTGTCATGTCACGCTGGATTGGCTGAAGGCACAAGATCGAAGGAGCTTCTGATAACATTTGACTTCTTTCTAGAATCATTTGCTTACTTTCTATTTCCTCATATGCTACATCTCTCTCCAACAGTGCTCGGCAGTGTTGCACAAATTCATTTGAGTCTTTTAACCTTGTTTGAATAGCCGTTTGTTCTTCATGATTTGCTGTTGTTTGTTCCTGGAGCGTCTGCTTCAGTTCCTCCTTCTTCGCTATTCCGTGTTGTTTGGCCATCTTGCAAATCATTTCAACCACATCATCAATGTCCTTCTTTGCCTCGGCAATCTCTCTTTGAATTCTTCCTATGTTTTCTTTAGATTGCTCTAGTTCTTGTCCATCGTTTTGTTTTCGTTGTTCCACTCGATTCATCGCTCCTACGATCAATTTCCTTGAGTCCTGTCCAGCGTCTTCTAAGCTCTGCAGTTGGTGGTTTTGGTGATTCAAAGTAGCGCATTTTTGGCAAACGCTGATTCTACATGTTTCCTCTTGACAATAGTATTGAAGCCTCTTTTTTTCGTGGAACTTGCACAGCATCTGGTTTTTGATAAAACTGTTTACATTTTCCTCCTTAAATTGATCGAGCATTATTGGTTGGTGTTCATCTCGTATTTCTTTGAATAACCGATGGGCGTTGCAGCAATCCTCGCATATCAAGCCATTACACTGCTGACAAAACGCCGCCAAGACTCGCGGTTGTTCACAGTTCACACAATGGGGCAAGACTGGTTCATTAGCTTTGCTTTTCATCCCATGAAGCAAGTCCAGGAGAGAATCCAAGTAGAACGACGAAGGTAGCTTCGAAGGATCGCCGTCGGGCACAACTATCGCCGTCTTGCACATCGGACAGTCCATTCGATTGTTGCCGCGATTCCCGCTTGTCTGATACCACTGTGCGATACATCTTGTACAATAACTATGAAGACAGGACAAAGTTTTGGGCTGGGTGAATACATCTAGACAAAGGGAGCAGGTCAGTTGTTCTTCGAAGGTGTCTGTGATGTCTTTGAGCGATTTCAATGCAGCCATTTTCGCAGGGACGCAGAATGTAATGAATCAGTTTTCTTGGAAGTAGAGAGTCATCATCAAAGGAGTCACGTGATGATCCTATTGAGACAGGGTCATGGCAACAGACTACGAGACTCATAAACACGCCATCTCGTAATAGTTTTGTTTTAAATATTCTTTATTGAAAAGCATTTGTAGCGCGAATCTTTGTGCTATATTCTGATTAATTTTTTAAAAGTAAAAAAACACCGGTTTTGAAATAATCAATAAAGACACAAGACTGAAAAATTTGTGAATTTACTGACTGACGTTTAAAGTAAAGGTATCGTAGGCTTGTTCAATTGACCTAATTACCATTACGTCACAGCTTGTTTATGTCGGGGATAGAATCGCCAAATCCAATACAAAATTCAACTATATTTGCTCCTAGCGAAACAATTTAATCTAAAATGGACTGGTTTTCAGATATGATATGTGTTAATATGTACTAAAAAATATTCCGAGCGTTTGCTGGCTATTCTACTTCTCTTCGTGGAATGATACGGGATTTAGAACAATTTTCGGTTAGTTTGCGTTGATTTGACCCCGTCCGACGACCATGACCCTTTGCGTTTAAACAATAGATTGTTGAATATTGTTTTGATGTGACGCCATAGTGAAGTAGGGTAAACCTCAAACGATGGACGCAGAGACGCAGAAAAGGAATGCAGTGAATTACAGTAGATTTCTTGGAATTAGAGAGTCATATTCAAAGGAGTCACTTGACGACAGTATGGAGAGAGCGTCATGCTAAGAGACTACGAGACTCATAGCAACGCCATCTCGCAATGGTTTTGTTTTTATTATTCTTATTGAAAAGCATCTGTAGCGCGAATCTTTGTGCTATATTCTGATTATTTCTTTAAAAGTAAGCTTTTCAGCACTAGATATATAATTTGAATATGAAATGAGAAATCATTTATGGAACACAGTCAGGGTCCAAATTATTCATGGTTGCAACTCAGACAACAGTGAGCCAGTAATCGTAGCAGGTGTTTTCCAGTAGCTTAGTATAATTTTGTCCCACCAAACAGTTAGTATACATTACTTTCAAGGGAACTAGTTTCAGTTTCTACAGGAAAAGCAAAAACTAAAAATTCGCCAAATATCATTCCTGTGATGCGAATCTTTAATGTCATGGTACTGATTTGAGTTAAATCTTTAGATAGATAGATAGATAGATAGATAGATAGATAGATAGATAGATAGA